ATTTTTGCAACAGCATTATGCTACTACAGCATTTTAGTTTTCATAGTCAGCGTTGGTTCATCAGCCATGCTCGAGCACCTGAGAAGCTCTGTAAAACCTGCTTCCCGCTTATCCTACAGCCAGCGATTTTTCTTCAATGTTTCAGCAGAAGAGTGGACGATTTGTTAGGTGTGCATCTTTTATGATCTCATGATAATAGCCCTTCCTTCCTAGGAAAAAAAAGTTTATCTTCTTCTCTCCAGGCCTGAGACATGAGTGTAAAGAATCCATAATTTGATTTATGTTGTCTCTGCTGGGACTCTGCTTCACTGAGATGGGGAAGAGAAGTCAGTGCAGAGGACAAGTGAGGAGAAAATCATGTGATTTATGTGTTTGCCCAGATCATAAAAGGACTAGTGTCCAACCATTTATTGAATCAGGAGTGGAATGTTTTTTTGATGCAGAGCAGGTGCTGCTTGTATCAGTGAATGTGAAGAAGAGGGTAAAATGACATGTTTAAGTCTTTTACCTTTAAAAATGAACTGTCAACACACAACCTGGGAGATTTCACTGCGAACAGAGAGCTGAAAATCCCATTTGACAAGGTTGACAGAGGCAAATTCCTGTGTACAAAGGAAGACTGAATAAGAACAGGACTCGTTTTTCACGTTTATGTTGGAATAAAAGTAGTTTTCATTCAAAAAGGACTGTACAAATTTATCTATATACAGTGAATGTACTTTATACTGCCTGTCTTTTCTTAGCTGCTGCTTTCTTATATTTGTCAATAATTAAAGAAATTTTAATCAGAAATGAAATGAATTTTCATATTTGAACATTAATTTCAATTATAATAAGATTGATACCTCTTATGTCTGTACAGCTATAGCCTGTCAGCTCAGCTTATATTAACGACTGGAAACAGAAAAAAACAGCAAGCCTGAATTTCAAATATTTCCCAACCAGCTCTAAAGTTCATTAGTGAATTATGTTACATCTCTGTCCACAAACAGAAATTTGTGACGTGTTAAAATTTTAAACAAAGATGATGCAAATATTTAATCATATTTTTTTATTATATATTGTCAAACATTGGACAGAGCCCAGCGAGCTGTTTCCCCCCATTTCCAGTCTTCATGCTAAGGTAAGCTAACCAACGAGCTCCATGTATTCTTTTAAGTCAAACCTCTTCTTTAAATATACTTTTTTTTTTTTTTTCTGTTTAATTTTTCAACTTCATGAGAGTCAAAACAGAAATGTGACTACAAAAGGCCAACACACCACAGTAAACTCCCTCCCTGTGGTCTAGGAATGTTCTATATTTACATGTTCAGGGAAGGGAAGACCACACATCAGCGTCACATATCTCATCTCATCCAGTCTGAAAGCAAGGACTGTCAAAGGTTTACTCGCAGTAATTTCCTTAAATAGGAAAAATAAATGCAAACCTATATTCTCTGCTGCCATGGTAATTTTGTTCAACTGTGTCCTCAACTTTAAATCAAATTACACTAAGGATCATAAAGAATGCTGTCTTCACGACATGGAGAAAGTCATTCATAAAACCGCTGTGACAACGCACAGATACTTCAGAGGGTCTTTAATTCAGTTTCTATAATCCTCTATGGCCTGAATGTGCAGTTGTTAATATGAGAATCAAACAAAAACCAAAAACCCAAGGTTGAGGGTGACGTCTCATCCAAGGTAACTTAAGTGGATTGTTTGTGACTCTGGAACGCCAATAGGAGTTGAACTGTGGGCAACTGGACTTTCACCGCTCATCCAAGAGGCTCCTTCAATTCAGTTCAGCTCAGCCTCTTGGATGAGAGGTGAAACGTCCTCAGGTGTCTACAGTTGCCCTCCATTTGACTTTTCTTAAATAACCATGTGCTGGATGACTGAGAATCCTCACAGACATCGACTCTGAAACTCTTTCTGCTGTCAACCCCGCCGCACCAGACAAACATGAGGCAAATAGACTTCCACACCATAAATGACAGTACTTATTATTTTTATACTGGTTCACTTGGCATCCCCAAGCAGCCTGCTGCACTCATTATTAACTTAAGAGCTTACGAGAAACAGCTTAAGTAGCAAAGTCAATTGTTTTTGTTTGACGTGGGTGAGGGCAATCAAAGATGCATCTCCAATATTACCACTGCACCAATTACTGATTTAAAAGCCTGAATCTCATCTGGGTATTCTTTACAGATGTTAAAGTAAAACAAATAACAGCAGTGATGAATTAAACACAAACGAGAGTAGTCTCTGGTGTGACACTTGTTAAATTAGTGATTATCAAAGTACAGGCTGTAGTTTCTCCGTTGACAATCACTGGGAAGCAATTGGAAGTATACAATTATGCTGTACAATATCAGTCTGAATCTTTACAGTGTTCAGATATAACTCATATATCTGTTTATTATAAGTTATGGCAAGTAAGTTATACCACAGACTACAACAACCACATAAGCTTTAAAGGATTTCATCAGCCAGTTGACACAGTAACAATGAAAACGACAAAAAAGGATGATAACTACTCAACAATATCAAACACCGAGAAAGACCATATGAAAGTCCAGGCTGGATTAACCATGTGTCCGGCCCCAGAGCAAAAATAAACTGATTGAAATTTGATTACACTCAACTTTATTTAGGAATATTCATTGTGTAAGCGTAATATCAGCTGGAATACCAACATAAAGGTCATTTCAGAAAATTCCCCAAAACTACATGTGTTTATGTTCAGGTGAGAGAGCGCTCTGGCAGCTATTGGAATCATGGCTCTTTCTCATTGGCAGCAAAGTATGAAGTAGTGCGACTTTGTTAAACGGCCGTAAACTCGGCTGATGGAGGAGGTCGGAGTGGAGCGGTGAGTCAAGAAAATTTGCCATTTTGTCAAAGTTGTTTTTGTGCCTAAGTCAAACCAAAACTAAACCAGACAGCTGTCAGATCATAAAACTGGTTTGTTTTTCCAGCAGCTACAGTTTTGGAAGGCACAGACAAAAAAAACCAAACAAGCATCTTGCCCATAGTGGCTCAAATGGGGAAAACTTATGTACAGTATGTCATGTTGGGTAATGACAATGGTATACTTTGTCATTTAATTTAAAGGACTTGTTGGTTAAAAAAGTTGTATAATGTCCTCTGTGCCTCTGCAGGTGTTTTGTTAAGGATGAGAAAATAACCCCGATTATGTCATAGTGATGTCACCTGGGTTTATCCTGGCTTGAGTTTGCAATTTGTAACACAAACAGGAAATAACACTATTCTAACACTATTATGGAAAATATAGGTATCATGGTTTTTGAGATTGACCTATAACTTTGACCATTCTTTCGTCTCTTGTGAGTCCCAATCGAAGTGTAATAATGAATCACTGGAGACCCCTTTTAAAGGTGTTAGAACTAGATCATGACACAGGGCCCTTTTTGAATACAGGAGCCTCATGATCAAGTAAAAATATACCCTGTGACTTAAAGGCCCTTAGCAGTTCAGTTTATATTGTGGATTAGTCGAGAATATTACCCAACAGATTTGCTAATTATCAAATTAGCACAGACTGATTTCTACGGCCCCGGGGCCCAGTTGTCCTCTTTGCCCTACTGGTTTTCCAGCCTCGAATAAAGTAAAACAATGCCTACAATCTTTGCACACAGCAAGGAGAAGAACTATATAACAGTGTGATGCACAGCTGCTTGAGTGTGGACATGTGATTCATGTACAGGACACACAGTATATCACGTTTAGTGCTCCAGTGTCATTGTAAACATACTTAATAACCATGGTGACAAAAGATAATGCAAATATAATTTTCCTGTAAATCTGCCTCTTCAGCATTTTCATTACGCAAATGTTCAATCAGACAAATGACATGATATCAAAGTGAAAGCACTGTCCTTCACATTGTTTGTTGTCTGCAATATCGCTGTATTTGTCTTCTGAGTGCTCCTCACCACAAAAATTGCATTTGAAAGCAGCTCCTGAGCAGTTTGAGTGAATACAGATGAGTCTCGCATTGAAAATAACAGACAAGCAACAACAATCTGAAGATTGTACATTAAATAGAAAAACAGTAGAAGACCACCACAGATTTCTTCAAAAATCTACACCATCTAACTCAATATATAATATCAATATATAGTATGAGTTTTATTATCAGTTTCACCAACTTTCCTCCCAAGTAACAAAGCTATCAGTATGTAGTTGTCCATTGTTGTGTTTATTCATCCTCTGTTTCGTTGACTGCACTGTTGATGCGTGGGGTGATATATTTGTGACCATAAAGATTGTAAAACATCCACTAGGATCAACTGCACCGCCGTAGGCCTTTCCCGACGATCTGACAGATTCTTGCTTGTCTTTATGTTGGTGAGACATTAGCATAAGGCAGTCACTGGTGTTTTACGCTGCATTTTCCAGCAATTAGAGCCTACAACGAATAGATTCAGGTCGTTCTGCTCAGTCCAGAAATAGCAAAATAACAGACTTCTATTGTTCATGATTAGCAACCAGTGTTTCTCTTTAAATACTGTAAACACGCTTCATCAAACAGTGTGCTAACTGTTCGGCTCCATCATTAGATGAAGAACATGTCAGTCACCACCAAATACTCATGACATATAGTACTTACACTGGCAACAGTCAGCAATGTGTAGTTATATTAGAAACACACTTTTATCATGAGACTCACAAAACTTCTCATGTTTGACCAGCAAGAAATTGCCACTGGTTTCACAAATGCTTTCTTTTTTTCCCAACTCAACTATTTAACAATTACATGTTAGATAATTGGGTAACACTTTCTAATAAGTGAGTTGTAATTAATGGCTTTATTCATGGTTAACATAATTATATGTAATGATTTGATAATAATAAGAATACATTTTGGGTTGCCAGGTTGTGAAGATTATACCTCAGCTGTTTGACAGACGATCTGGACCAAAATCCATTTATTGACAATTTATTAACACTTACAAAGGCAGATTAAACTTTTAAAACCAAACTTAATGACCCTTTACACCATTTATAACTGCAACTGCATACTTACCAAAATTATAACATTATTACAAAATAGAGAGGATAAACAACTGCCAATTATATTGTAAACTATTTAAAATGCCCTAATTTATTATTATTAATTGCTCATAGCTGACCTGTAATGAATTATTACATTGTTTATTAACCATAATAAAGCGATTTATTACAGTTTATAAGCCCCTCAGGTGGTTCCTTATTAGAAAGTGGCTCCGATAATTATTTTAACTAGACTGACGACGTCACAACAACCTTTACAGTTATTAAGTGGAATTAAATTTCATCATGAGCCCTCAGGGAGCTGGCTAATACTCCTAGTAAAAGACTGGTGAGTTTCACAATATTTCAGATTTGAAAGTGTTTATGTTTGCCAGTGCCACATCTCAAAAGCTGCCCATCAGTGTTGTCACTGACCAGCATGACACTGGATGTAGCCTGTAATCGATGAAGGTTAATGAAAGGTCCCTGTCCAGAGGAAAAAGAGAGCCATGTCTGAGTCGCTTCTCAGCGTCTCTTCTTGTCTTTCCATCCTTGAAGTCATTGCTGAAATTCCCTCTAGCTTTGGCTCAGAGACATTCACTTTCCTTTTTTAGCGTGCTTGCTTTCCTCTGAGCCAAAGATCTGTTTCTTTTTCTTTGCATTTTCTTTTGAAAACCTTTGACATGACCTGTGTTTTACTTCTTTCAGTCATGGTTGATATGGCTGCTTATGCTTTATGCCCAGTTTTTTGTGTGGGATCAATTTCCGACTGTGAAAAAGTTGGGAAATATTACTTCACGGGCAACACCATTTGACAAGCTGCTGCCTTTTGAGGTGAGCGGCAAAACATTTACATGTGTATCTACAAAATGACACATCTTTCTGATTAGACAACAGTACAGCGGTAGTTGGGGTCGTTGGTTGTACTGGAACCGTCGGTTTTGACCACCGTGAGCTTGGACGAGTGCTGGGAGCTGTGCAGCACGTTTCTGCGGCAGAGACGCTCACGGTAGTTCTGTGCGAAGATGAGCAGCATGAGCGGGTTGATGCAGCTGTGGGAGTAGCTTAGGCAGATGCTGATGTGGTAGGCGTAGACAAAGGCAATAGTTGGTGTATTGTTGCTCAGGTTGATCACCTGAATGACGTGGTAGGGCGACCAGCAGATCAGGAACACTGCGATTACCATCAGGACCATCTTGGTGGCTCTTTTTGCCCAAACGGACTGCTTACGTTTCACCCGGCGGATGGAGCTGAAAACGTGGTAGAGGGTGAGCGAGTAGAAGGTGCTGATGATGATAAGAGGGATGATGTAGCCCAGGATTGACTGGTAGAAAGTGTACCAGTACATGTCCTCAGGCCCGTCCAGGTACATCATGCAGACTTCCAGATGCTGCCGGCGCTCAACCTTGGCATACATCATGACCGGGACGGTGAGGAGGAAGCTGCCCAGCCACACAAGCATGTTGATCATGATGGTCCAGTGGATGGTCCTCTTCTCCGAGGTGGGGTGGACGATAGCTATGTACCTAGGAGGAAGAAGTCACTTGTTAAGAGCTGGACTGCAGTCTCAAACACAGACGATCAAAGCAACTTGCTTTGTAAAGAGGTCATTTTCATCCTTGACAAACAATGATGAAACCAAATACCTTGTCAAAGATACACTTTACATATTACGCACTCAGTAAAATGATGGATGCAGTGATTACAGTACAGTAATTTATACAGGGTGACTCAGCAGTAGGAGATGAACATTTCCATTTTGGATTTGGTTTTATTTCAGTTTGAGGAGTTGCCCGGCTTGTTTAGTCACTATTGATCTCAAACTGTAGGACTTTAGCAGGAATTTAATGACTGCTTTGTCATTACTTACAAGTGTTACTGAAGTGGAGCAAATGACATACATTCAGTCACTGTCTGCATGTTACAAGTTACTCTGTGTTCATGCCCGACCTGTCTGGGGTGATTTAACAAGCGAGTAAACCATTAAGATGTTGACATTCTCGCAATTTTCCCCAGGTTATCCTGCTAAATTACAATTATCTTAGTCCATAAATCAGTAGTTCAACATTCTATTCTTCAACAGAAGCTGATGTCCTGAGTCCTGATGTTGATGTTGATGTTGGTCTAACAGTTGAATCATTAAGTGCAGATCCAAACCCAACGTGTGATCTACTGGCATGTTGCCTCAGATAAGTTAACTTTGATACTGACATGATCAAAAACTTACACCAGACTGTCAGAACTCCAACCAAACCCACGCTACACTGAATGTTTTATACTCTCAATTTGGAGAAGTAGCTACATCCTTTTTAGGTTTATACAGAGGGAGAAACCGTTGGCACGAGTTGTATCAACCATGTATGTGTAGATTATTGATCTCTCTGTAGCTTACGGCATTACAGCGGATAGATTCAGGTTAAAATAGGTTTCCTTTGGCAGCATCCATACCGAAAGTGTGTTTTATATGCTTTAAATATTTCTTGTGAACACTTTTATTTGCCTAGACCCGATTAAAAAGCCTATATACACTTTTTATTAACACAACTAAAGTGTTAAGTTGTTATTCAATGACTTTTTTACACTTTGATTTTACACTGTAATTTGGAAACAGGATGTTGATAACCACAAAACTGCCACAAAATGAAATTACACAGCTGAGATACAACAGACACAACTTTTCCTGTATCGATTAAAACAACACTGTCTTTGTTGGCACTACCAGGAAAAAAAAGATTATCATTTTATTTGTTGCTGTTGTTTTTAAAAGATGAAACTTTGCAATATTTGAGGCTAACTTTTTCACTCTAATTTGGAAGGCACTGTAAACATTAAAATTATGTTATTAGTATCTGTAGTTTTCTAACTTATTAATGTGGGACACAAACTAGACTTTTGTTGGTTTGTTTAAGTTGTCATCTGTTGTTTTTCTGTTTCTAACGTGAGATTACAGCCTGAATTACTTGTTTTGAAGGTGTTGTGGAATTCAGTTTTTCAAAGGGCTGTTTGATCTTTTTTCCACTATTTGTTAAATTGCTGTGATGACAAGGCTGTATACTCTAAATCCATATTGGTAAAGTTATAATGATGAAAATAAAAGTAATAAGTCCATTTCTAAATGTTATTAGGAATTTATGGGTACAGACGCTGCTCATCAAAATGCAATTAGCTGTTTAGTGGCCCTTAAGAAATACATTATGTGTATTATTCTGAGGACCTGTGACATTGAAGCTCTGAAAACACCTCCTTCAGCTGTGATTACCTTCAAATGGAGATGTTTATCAGTCAGACACTTGGCATAAGGACTCACTTAGATTTCCTTCATGTGTTCTGATCATAAACAGGACGCAGATTGTTTATGCAAGGAACATTATGTTTTTATGGGTTGTGTCAGATGATTACTGCCCTCCAATGGGGTATATATTTTTAGATGGACTGTTTAGTGGTATACTTTTAGTATAATAACTGGGGGAAGATTAAACACCTCTACTTTTATTCTTTTTATTGCTATTGGGCTATCATTGTTGTTATTATTACTTGTGTTGTTCTTATTATTAGTAGTAGTATTGTTGTTTTGAATTCCAGATAAATATAGTGATTTTTCACCACCTTCTAAAAGAATAATAACAAAACACTGACGGACTGAACACGCATTCAAATCTGACATACTTATGCATGGAGCACTTACCGATCAATGCACAACACAGTAACAATTCCCACTGTGGTGAACTGGTTGCTCACATCCACCACCACAACTGCTTTACACATAAAGTTTCCGAAGACCCACTGTCTGTCTCTGACCAGCTGGTGAATGTTGAAGGGCATCACAAGCAAGAACAGCATGTCTGCTATTGCCAAGTTCAGCACGTAGATGTCTGATACCATTTTCTTCTTGCACGCTGCCACCGCGTAGATGACCAGTCCATTGGCTATAACTCCAACTGCGCACAGGATGCCGTAAATGGAAGGGAATATGTGCATGAAAGTGGTGATATCGATGTGGCTGTAGGATGAGGGAGATGGGCTCAGACATGACGGGTCAGTCAAGTTGTCTGTTTGGTTGTTTTTACACGATATGCCCGTGTCGTTCATCTTCACGTCCTCTTAATAATCGCCTCGGTGTGGTTGAAGTTAAAGCGTAGTCCGGTCTCCAAACTTGTGCGGAAAAGTCACGCACTGTCCAAGAGCGCGTCTTCTTACCTTGAGTTCGTCTCAGCGTGTATTCCCCCTATAAAAGACCAAGCGACTTGAAAGAAGAAAACGTGGAATAAAATCTGACTACATGAGCAATGACGGTCTCTGGAACACGTTTATCTCTGGAAGCAAATTATGATCTGCTGTGCGCTTTACCAAACAGTGTGCGCCTCAGTGGACAAGAGTTCCCTCCCTTCGAAGATCATTAGCTGTGTCATAATAAGAAAAAGCAAATCAAACAGGCACTTGTAGATGAGCCTGGGAGCCACAAACCTTGACCTTCTTCACATGTTGATAACGATTTGAAATTAAGGAGAGTAAACAAACTCTTGTTGTGATGCATTTTGAGGCAGTTACTTCAATATAACGGATGCATGTTTATTGTATAGGCTACTTTGATAAGAATAAAGCTCATTCTGTAGTGTGATAAATACAGATGGCAAAGCCTTTCACGTTTAAACTTTAACATAACAAAATCAATAAAAACTCAGAATCAATAAGATAAGTATGAAACTTACCTCCTTAAGGTTACTTTAAAGGGTTTAAGTCACTGGGAAGATGAAATCTGAGGGACAGAAACATCTACAATTGAGACACATGGTTCAATTACTTTTACACAAAAAGAGATTTGTGTTCTTTCATTTCAATTAAAACATACATTTCCAGTGGGCTTTAAATGTCTCCCCTTTTTCTTTTCTTCAAATGATGATTAGATTCAGCTTTAAGACGTTGAGCTGATCACTACCAATTAAGTTTTTTAATGGTGAATACGACCTCAGGGGGAATCCATAAACCCTATACCAAAGATGTGATTTTCTCTTTATGGAGCTTTGTTCTGACATCACCAGGAGGAGCTTTGATCCGGGTTTGAAGCAGCTCAGGAGAGAGGGCTCTGCTGGGATCTGACCACAGGTCAGCAGGAATATATTTAAGCTTTCCACATGCTGGCTTCAGGTGCCGTTTGTTCATTCCCTGTGATGGCTTCTTCCTGTTTCAACTACTTTTCAAAGTGCACAATAATATAATTATTTTCACACCAGTGTTCATAGAGAATAGGATACACTTTGTGACTTTTCTGACTTTTGTCGCTGTTCAAGAGCACACATGCTTTAATGAGCTCTTTAAACTCAGCTCTGTCACTTATTGACAGCAAAAGAAAATTCCACCCTGAATGAAATTCACATTTTTTATTTATGTTTTATCTTCTTGATCTCTTCAATTTAGATCTGTGAGCATAAACCCCTCATTCCCAGAGATGGAAAGTGTAATTGGTGTCATCAAGAGTGTCTGTGAAGATTATATCTACAAGTTAAAAACATGTTGAGTGGCAAAACTTCTGCAAGACCAAAACAGCAAGTCCAATGGGTTTTGACCACTGGATTACTGAACAGACCTACCAAGCATAGGCCTTGAAAATGTCTGGAAAATGTCTGTGATAGAAACCAAGAAATGACCACAGAGACACAGTAGTAGTTTCAGATTAATCATAAATTCAGGGCCTGTCCTTTCTCATAATTTTGTGCTGCCTGTCTTTCCTATACTGGTATAGGAATAGAAAGTTTCTGCATCTTGTTGCACTCTTCCTTGACATCTTCACCTTTCTGCACTCCTTCCTGGCTGAAGAAGTTTTAGGATTTGAGCTGATAAATCACCGTATAATTAGTTCATTTGCTTGCTACTGCTGCCTCTTAATGCTGTGGAAGAAAAGACTGTTGAAGTAATTGTCTACTGTGCAATTTTAGTTTCCACATGCATCTTTATAATAATGTGTGCAACTGATAACTGATCTCAGAACGGTGGAGGCTGAGTCAAGGAAAGCTTAACAAGCATACTTGCCTGTACCTAGCTATAGTCACCCATCAAATATCCCAGGATTATCCACAGTGTGTATGTGCAAGTGTCCTAATAATGCTGCTCACCCCTTCTGCATGACTAGCCCCAGTTTTTGTCAAAAGGACACAGCCACACCCACAAAAACATTAGAAATCAGATATACAACAGCTGGAAGTCAACCTGCGTCCAGAGACAATACTGTGGCCACAATAGGGCAGTAAATTACAAATGAATGCCAACAGGCAATAACAGATCGTTTATGGGACACAATACTGTTCTGAGATGTAAGGAGAGATATTGCTTCCACTTAGGTATTGCTCTAATTAATGTCCATTTTTAGCTTTAACATCACACCACATGGTCACAACAGAAAGACCACAAAGAGACATACAAATATATACACAAAGAGAATAAAACCACAATAAAGAGACTGCAAAGAGATGAAAAATGGTCACAGAGAGATGCAAAATGAGCAATGAGACAGAAAATCACCACAAAGGACAAAAAGCCAGGTTCATCACTTTGTAGTGTCCCCTGGAAACACTTCTGCTGTTGTTTGTGCTGCTTGCAGTGCGTTTGTGTATTTGATTGTGTTGTGAGTATTTGCAGCACATGTTCTGAAATTGATGAGGATGTGTTCTGAATTTTCTTGTGTTTTGTCTATTTATCTACACGTTTCTTAAGTTGCAGTGCTTTGAGCTCTCACTGCCACCCCTTGATACTCGATAGCGTGATGCTCCCACCGACTCGCTTCACAGTAGGGATGGTATTAGCCAGGTGATGAGCAGTGCCTGGTGTTCAAACATACTCTTCGAGTTCTGTCCACAGAGTTCAATTTCTGTCTTATCACACAAGACAATCTTTTTCCTCATGCCCTCAGAGTCCTTTAAATTCCGTTTGGCAAACTCGATAGTAAAGTTAAAAAAGTACTAAAGACTCGATTGATGGAGTGCTGCTGAGGTGCTCGTCCTTCCGTCAGGTTATCCAATCCCTACAGAGGACTTCTGAAGCTGTGTTAGAGTTTGACCGGACGGCCAGCTGTAGGAAAAACCACGCTAGTTCCAAATTTCTTGCATTTCACAGTTATTACAGCATTTTCATCGCTGAGGTTCACAGAGAGTTTGTTGGACTTCATAGCTTGGTTTTTGTCCTGACATGCAGTGTGAACTGAGGGACCTTATATACACAGGTCTGTGCCTCTTTGAAATATATCCAATCAATAAAAATTTGCCCCAGGTGGACACCAATCACATCCTAGACACATCTCAATCACATCTCAGTATTTTCTTGTTTGTTTGTTTGACAGAGGTATTGGCTTTGCTAAAGTATTCTTGAGTAAAAAAAAAATGAGACCAAGGGCTAATCTATTTTTGTTTGTACTTATTCTGGCATGATACCCTCAACAGTTATTAGATGGATTGCCATGATATTTGCTACAAACATTCAAGTCCCTTTATGATGAATTGTAATAACTTTAGTGATTCCCAACTTTTCATTCCCTGCTGCTATCTGGTCTAAATTTCAATTTGACTAACTTGATTTACAACCGAATACCAAAACTATTGACATTACCATCATCATTACTATACTTTTTGGTTAGTGATAATTTGCTCATGTTAGCATGCTAACATGCTAAACTAAAATGGTGAACATCATACACATTACACCTGCTTTACATCAGGATGTTGGCATGCAGAACATTTAGCTTAAAGCCCCACTGTGTGTAAGTAGAGCCTCAGAGTTGACTGAGAGTTGTTAGCATGGCTAGCTGGTACTTGAAGGTGGTACCATCATCATACTAGAAGGGCACTCCCCTAAGCCAACGTCAAAAAAAGATACACCAGAGAAAAAAATTCAAATTCATAGTAAATGATCCCATTCATCCACCGAGAGTGGTGTAAATCAATTCAGTACTTTCTGTGCAGTCCTGCTGACAAATAAACAGACAATGAAAACATGACCTCCATGGCAGTGGTAGCTATTGTGAACCTGATTTAGATGATGCCGCTGTGAAAAGAGAAACTGATTTTGATGAATAAATTAAGGAGCAAGTTGAATGCTTTCCCAGAGCAGCTCCATGTTTTGTCAGTTTGAAAGTCAGGACCAATGACAGCTCTGCAAATGGTGTGTTCATCCACTCACGTCTGAGACGAGTTCATGCTGATTTCTCAGTGAAGGAGAACAGTGGTGGTGAGGGAATAATGATACAAAGCTTTACCATGAAGGGACTCATAGGGTTGCCAAAGTCATAAAATGTTAAATTCGACTGACAGCAGATTAGACCTTCTGTGGTGCACATTACATTCGGTCTGTCAGATTCACACTTATTAAAACCTTTCATCTTCAACACCCAGTTGTCTGGAAAATGCGGCATAATTGCAGGAGGATGCTTAAGTCAAGTTTTAGCTCATAAAGACTCCTGAAACATTTTCTACGGACTGGAAATGTCTTTGTGCTAGTAATAATTCATTTAAAAGGTTCCCTTTTTCTACCATTTTCATTACTTTTGTATGTTTTTTATAATTGTTTGTTCTTCTTCAGAGAAATATTCAATTTGTCCATGCTTCACGTGATTGCCTGTTTCTTAGAGGGAACTCATATATGAGTTATTTAAAGCTACAGTGGTAGCCCATAACAAGCTTAATGTTAGTCATACATGCCATTTGTGCAGCCTGCTACTGCAAAGACAAACTTGAACTGTCTTCATCAGACAGTACAGTTGGTATTAGTGTAAATAGTAGTGGGCCACAGCTCTAAACCTTGAAAAATTTGGCTTTTGTCTGCTACAAATCTCCAGACCTGGGCAGTACTCGTTTCCTTCCTTCAACAGCTGCCAGCGGGAGTACTGGTGCGAGACAGGGTTAGTGGGGTCATATCTCCCATCTGCTCTGTGGCCGACAGTGGAGGACGGTGCTTGCCCCGGTCAGCTCCTGAGTAGGAAGGTGTGCACCTGTGTGAATGTAAAGCAGGAAAAAGACCATGAGCGTTCAATAAAACTCTAGCCTGCATCAAGTGAGGAATAAACATGAGGGTAAAGTGTATGGACATTTATGGGCAGTTTCAGGGTATAAATTTAACCCAAAGTAGGTTTAAATAGTGAATAGTCGATCTTAGTTTTAAAAAATGGCTTTTCAAAAGACATCTTGAATATGGATTTGTTGCTGTCGGAGAAAAGAGTCCTGGACTATGTAGTAGTAACCACCCTCAATATATTAGTGTTCATTAATAAGACCACACCAGCCTCAGGCAACTCATAAAAGCTGGAACAGATCACAATATGGAGGCA